CACAGACAAAACTTTAAATGGAGAAAGGGACGAGCAGACAAAAGTTACATTCACTGAACAAGGAAAAAAAGAATTAACCAAGTGGAAGTCAGGGCTCAGTTGGGGCATTCAGGTTTATTCATACCCTTACCCATCTGGGGTGATAACCATTTTACAGGAAGTAGAGCCCTTAGATGTCGGGTTGGTAGGTCCAAATGAAGTGTTAAACCCCCTGGGAAAAGGAACCCTACCCCTACAAGAAAGACGTTGAAAGAATTCAGCACTGCAACCCCTGATATTACAGTAAGTGTCCCCCATAAAATTCCGAGGGCCCAAGCCAATCCTCAGGACATAGACCCTCTTTGGAATTTAATGCTAGCTGCCTACCAAACACTTAACTGTACTAGTCCTAACCTGACTCAAGCCTGTTAGCTTTGTTATGATGTAAACCCTCCATTTTATGAAGCAATAGGCATTAATACCTCTTTCAGCTATTCTCATGACCTGAACCCAAAGAATTGCTCCTGGAAAGACCGTAAGGTAGGATTTACCATACAACGTATAACAGGAAAGAGCTTATGCGTGGGGAAAAACCCCAACGCTCAAGAAAGTTGCACCTCATATATTGAAATAAACTCTTCCTTAAACTGGATCATTCCCAGGGAAGGGGGTTGGTAGCTTTGCTCAAGAGTTGGGCTTTTGCCCTGTTTAAACTTGAAAGTACTTAATCAGTCCTCAGATTATTGTGTACTAGTAACTATTCTGCCCCGAATTCTTTACCACCCAGAGGAAGAGATGTATGTACACTGGGGCGGAACTAATAGAGTAAAAAGAGAACCACTCACTGCAGCTTTTACCCTCGCTACTCTATTTGGCTTAGCAGGAACAGGAGTAGGGATAACTTCATTAACTTTGCAGAATCAAAGCATGACTTCCCTGAGAGCAGCTATAGACGAGGACCTTGAAAGAATAGAAGCCTCTATCTCCCATTTAGAGAAATCTTTAACTTCGCTATCAGAAGTAAAGTTGCAGAACCGGCGGGGGTTAGATCTTTTATTTCTCCAACAAGAGGGATTGTGTGCAGCTCTAGGGGAAGAGTGTTGTTTTTATGCCGATCATACGGGAGTAGTTCTGGAATCTATGGCCAGGGTACCAGAAGGACTTGCCCTAAGAAAAAAGGAGAGTGAAACTCAGGAAGGATTGTTCGAATCTTGATTTAATAACTCCCCGTGGTTGACTACCTTGATATCTACTCTCTTAGCACTGTTCATAATCCTTATAATTATATTAACTTTTGGCCTCTGCATTATAAATAAGCTCATATCATTTGTGAAAGATCGAGTTAATACTGTACAACTCATGGTCCTGAGACAACAATATCAGTCCCTATCTCCTGTAACACGGGTTGAAGATTCATCATATGAGTAACAAGAAAAAGGGGGGAATGTGAGGCCTGAGTCCTAATGCCCTCCAGGTAATTCTTTAACCAGGAGTCATTAGTGCCAGGGACTCCAGCATGTCCCCCACGCCTCAGGGCTTTACCTTCCCTCCAGGTAATTATTCTTTAACCAGGAGTCATTGGTGCCAGGGACTCCAACACGTCCCCCATGCTTCAGGGCTTTACCTCAAACCCCCTCCCCTCCTTTTCTACCCCCCAGCAACAAACAATCATTTGTACCTCTTTGCTTTGGTGTTACTCCACCCTATATTTTTCCCATAAAAATGTAATTGTAGGAGAGCAAGGGGTCTTTTGCCCAAACTGTTGCGTCGGTTTAAGCGGAGACCCTAGCTCAAACTAGCCAATAAACTTTCCTTTTGCTTTTGCATTATCGTGTCAGTGGTAGCTTCCTCACGCCAACACTCCTTTCAAGACCTGAGTCCAACAATGAAAACTCTATTTCTGCTTTTAGCACTTTCCTCTATTTCTGCTTTTAGCACTTGCCTATCCCAGGGACCCTCTTCTCAATGCCCTCACACATCCCCATAAACCACTAGTCAGCCTGCAGCCCAGTTGTCTTTCCTCTTTCTGCCTCCTTTATTCTCAGCATTTGATTATAACCACATAGTCTCTTTCCCAGCAAGAAGGACAGCTTTCTATTTCAAAGGAGAAAGGTAGAGAGAAGTGTAGCCAGCAATCACAGGCTTCCCTTTCAAGGGCTTCTGGAGAGGAGAAGTTGATAATCACTCTCACATCATTCATTCTGGCCCCATCACAGACAAAGATCTAGGAAATGTACCACAATGCCTTCAACTATGGAACTAATGACTCGAAAGCTCCATTTTCACTCCCAAGAGGAGCAGTGATATCTTGAACAGAGGGAGGTCTTCCCAGCTCATCCAATCTTTGCCCTGTGGGTAGGCAACACAGTGAAGCATTTAGAGTCAGACAAACTTGTTAAAATCCCAGCTCCACCATCTACAACAGGCTGACACTGAGTAAACTCTTTTATCTGTCTGAGTCTCAGTTTCCTCACCTATAAAAATAAATAAATAAACTCACTGACTTCGAGTTGGTCCCAACTCATAGTGACGCCACCTTGGGTTTCCAAGATGGTATCTCTATGGAAGCAAATTGCCCAACCTTCCTTCTGAGGAGTAGTTAAAGTACTCAGCTACCAACCAAAAGGTTCTACAGGAGAAGGATGCAACAATCTGCTTCCACAAATATTTACAGCCTTGGAAGCCCTATAAAGCAACCTTACTCTGTTCTGTAGAGTTGCTATGAGTTGGAATCAACTCAATGGCAATGGGATATATATTCTAACAGCATCAAGACAACTGCTAAGAAAGGCTCTTCCCACATGCCAGTGGACATGGATGGACAAAGTCCACTCAGATGAAGAAAATATTTCAGACAAAAATTTGCTATAATCCACTTTACTCTGCTACTTAATATTTCTGGCTAAAACAACATTGGTCCCCTGACACCAAAAGGTGGAAAGATGGAGAAGAGAGCTCTGTGACCATCCCCTAAATCACATTGTAAGTTGGGCCAGGGAAATGTCTCTACTCTCTCTTCAAAGGCAATATTCTAAAAGAAAAAAAAAAAAAGTTGTGTTGAGTCAACTCCAACTCATGGGGGGTCAGAGTTGATTTGTGCTCCATAGAGTTTTCTGCGTCTGATTTTTCAGAAGTAGATCACCAGGTCTTTCTTCTGAGGTGCCTCTGAGTGGACTTGAACCTCCAACCTTTTGGTTAGCAGCCAAGCACATTAACCATTTACACACCCAGTGCTTCCACCAACATTCTACAGGGACATAATCCTATAAATACATAAGACCTTCCTCAGTGGCATAAAATCTGATTATCAGTATTTTTTAAATTCATTTCTGTCCTCACTAAAATGAAATGTTCAGACCTCCCCTGAGGGCTTTGGCCAAGCAACTCTTGGGTCTGCTGCTGTCCTTTGGCCTGGCCTCTACAATCAGAAGATCTGGGGAGGCTGATTCAGGATTTCACCTATGCAGGCTCCTGGGGAAAACCATGCAGGGCAGGGTGGTACAAGAAGAAAGTACCTATTGTGTCTTACAGGGATTATCTATGGAGAGCTGAAGGGCTGGCCTGGAGGGTAGTGGTGGTTCACTAGTGGAATTCTCACCTTCCATGGGGAGACCCAATTCAATTCCCACATATGCATCTCATGCTCAGCTCCCCTCAGTGGAGGTTTTTGTGTTACTATGATGCCAAATGGTTTCACCAGAGGTTCCAGACTAAGATGGACTAGGAACAAAGTATTGGTGATCTTCTGAAAATGAGCCAGTGATAAACCCTAAGGATCACAACAATCTGATCTTTTTGTGCATGGGGTCACCATGAGTTCAGGGCTGACTTGATGGCAGCTAACAGTGAAAATGAATGGCTGTGCCTAAGAGGCAGGAGAGAGAGAAAGCCTGACAGGAAGGGCCCCTGACTGCCAGAAAAGCACAGCTTGCATGTGATCAGAGTGGGAAGCTTGGGATACTCAATATGTCATGAATCATGAGTGGGAAGGCTTCATCCCACCTACAGGACACCTAGGGGAGAACAGAAGCTGTAGCTGGAGAATATGAGCATGAAAAAGAAATCCACTATTGATTATGGAGAAGAAGAAGCCATCCCCTGTGCAGGTAGAAAATAAGTAGAAGTCTAGCTGCCATCCAAGAAGGTGGAAATTATTGACTATCTCAAATGCTTATTATTTCCTCAACACTCTCCCAGGTCCTCAAGGACAGTAATAACATAAGTTGTCTGGGGACTTAGGGAGAGGTGGGGGATGGGAGTTCTCACCTTTCTTCAATATTTCTCAAATTGAAGGCATGGTTTTACAATAGGCTACATCCAAATGTCGCTCAGGCTTATGACCTGAAGTCATGAGAACAGATTTAAGGACCAGTATGAGATATAATGACTGCTCAACACCCTGGCCATAGTCCATCAGTGTTAATTGTGACTTGTTATGTAAATCCCTTCATTCATACACATCTGAAACTTCTCACACTATACACCCGACCTTCATTTTTTTCCAGCCCTCTCCACTCTAGCACTGATAAATAGGAAGACTAGGCTCTGGGATATTGGTAATGTTTTCTTTTTGGCTTAATCACAGTCTGATTTGTTCCCAACCTCGTATCTGTGAACCCAGGCTAGTTCCTAAATGGTTGCCCTATTGGAATCCTGGGCAGTACAAATGGTTAATCACTCATCTGTTAACTTAAAGGTTAGGGATTCAAGTCCACAAAGAGGTGCTTCAAAAGAAGGGCATGGTGATCTAGTTCCAAAAATCAGCCACTGAAAACTCTCTGGAGCACAGTTCTACTCTGACATACATGGAGTCATCATGATTGAAATGACTCAATGACAAATGTTTTATTGTTTCCAAATGGACTAGATGGTGGGTGAACTTTATGGAAGAAGAGTGGAGTTGCTGGAATCCCATCTCGATGTGTAAACTGAGAGTGTGGGAACTCACTGCTTGAATCAGTTATAACTCACACTCACCATTGTCACCTTATCTCAAACAGCTTGACTCCTTCTTTTCACAGACCAAAGGGTGAGAGGTTTCATCCACGCCATTTATACCACACTAACCAACACCAGGGAGCTCTGGTGGCGTAGTGCCTAAAGCATTTGACTGCTAACCAGAAGGCTGGAGGTTCAAACCCACTAGCCACTCCTCGGAAGGAAGGTTGGGCAATCTACTTCATAGTGATACTGCCTCAGAAACCCAAGGAGGAGTTGCTATGAGTTGAAATTGACTCAACAGCAGTGAGTTTGGTTTCAAAAGCAACACCAGCCATGGCACTGAGAAGGAGCTGGCATGCACCTTGTTTGTGCAAGCCAGAATGCTGCTCTCATCCTGCTTCATGGAACAGGTCTCCAGGTGGGTCAGCAGCAGGCTGGAGCCAGCCAACCTCGGTGAACCCAATTGCACCACTGTTCAGGGCAACCAAAGGGCCTCCGGAGAGACAGCAAGTAAAAGAAACCTTTTCCCCTAACAGACTAATGCTAGAGGCCTGAAAAGACAGAGCAGCCATCCCATCACTTGGTCAGAAGGGGAGCTGAAGGGCCCTGGGTCTCCCTCAATTGCAGCAGAAGTTCATTCTCCCAAGAGACTCTGCAGTTTAGTAATGGCTTTGAGCAGACAGAAGAAATCTGTGAAGCAAGAAAAGCTGATCTTGGCCCCCTTCTGCCACACACACACACACACACACACATGAATGCACATACCCGCATGCTATCACAAACCCTTCAGAGCCTCCCACTCTGGGACCGCTCTGCATGCTTTCTCCATGCCACTGTCACCAGATGAGTTCCTGCTGAGCTCTGCCCTCATCAACAATTCACTAGTAAAGTACAGCTGGAGCCAGAAAAGTGGTTTCTTGGGAATTACTTGAAGGAAATAATTCAAGAGAACAAAAAGTTATGCAATAAGATGTCTGGCCCAGTGCTGTCAAAGAAAAAACAACTTGTAAACAACCTAACTGTGTAGCAATTAGAGATGATTCAGGAAATTATAGCATCCATATATAAACAGTGTTAATTATTATTAAAGAAGATAGAAGGCACTATTTACTGGGGGCTTTTTACAGTTTATTTATTTAGCATTGATCTAAACATTTCATGTTAATTATCCCATTTTACTCTCAAATTTCCTTAGAGATAAGTACTATCATTGTCCCTGTTTTACAAATGGAGAAACTGAAACACAGAAAATTGAATCTCCTGTACTCTCCATTTCACAGAGCCTGGATCCCAACCTAGGTAGTTTGACTCCAGTGTCCTTAATAATTACAGTGTTTATATTGAAATGTGAAGAATATTCAAGACCCAATGCTATTATAACAAAAAGATGGAAACAAGTGAAATGCTGATCAGCGAAGGAAAGGATCAACAAATCGTGGTACATACATACAATGGAATACCAGGCAACATTAAAGAATGATGATGAATCTTCGAAACATCTCATAACATGGATGAATTTAGAGGTCATTATGCTGAGTGAAGTTAAGTAATCACAAAAGCACAAATATGAGACTGCTATTGTAAAAAGTCAAGAAAAGGCTTTCACAAAAAAAAAAAAAAAAAGAAATATTCTTTCATGGTTGCCAGGGGTGGGTGGGGAAGGGAGAGTAACCACTAACTAGAGGGTAGACACATATTATCTTGGGTGAAGGGAAATAAAATAATTCTAAATAATTCACAGGGTTAGGAGGGAGAAATAAAAGACTCGTTGTTTAAAGAGCAAAACAGAAAGTGTTGCATACATTATGATTGAACTGAAAACAATTTGTATATGGATAAGGACTATAGAGTTGAAATGAAAAAGTTAAAAAATCTTTACTGATAGGGTGGTTTCCTCCCCCTCCAGCTCCCTGGCCCTCCCCTTCTGTCTATCAACTTTCTTTTTTCATTCTTTGTGTGTGTGTGTATGTGTGTGTGTGTGTGTGTGAGACTTGGGAGAAAGTTTACAGAACAAATTCATTTTCCATATAGCAGTTCATACATATTTTGTTTCATGACATTGACTACAATTCTCTACAGTGTAACAGCTCTTTTCCCACTTCCTCTGCATGGGTACCTCTTCCCCGTGTTTCACCCTCTCATGCACTCCTGTCCCCCAAGCTGTCTCCCTGAGCATACACAGCCCTTCTGTTCTCCCACAATTGATCGATTGCTCCAAGGAGTTTATCTACCTGATGTAAATGTTTACCCCATATGTCTGTCCATTGTTGGGCTGGAAGCCACAGGAGTCAGTTCAGTTCTAGACCTGAAGAGTAACTGTAGTCTCAGAGGTCTCACCAAACTCTCTCAGAGCAGCAAACCTGGTCTTGTGTGTGTGTGTGTGTGTGTGTGTGTGATTTTGAGTTTTGTTCTGCATTGTTCTCCCACTCCATCTAGGATCTCCTGTACTGATACCCCTCTGAGTGGTTGACAATGGTAGCTGGGCACCATCTAGTTCTTCTGGTCTAATGGTCATGTAGGCTGAGGATCACATGTTTCCATGTGTCTTTAGTTTTCTTCATTCTTCTTTGCTCTGAACTAGGAGAGATCCTTCGTTGCATTGACAATGCCACTTGCAAGCTTTTAGGATCCCAGTTGCTACTCACCAAAGTAGGATATAGAACAATGTTTTTGTGTAGTGTGTTATGACAGTTGAGCTTGATGTCCCCTATGACCCTGGTCTCAAGCACTACTCACTCCCTCAGGATAGCTGGCTAAGAAGCCACCACAAACTTGACCCTTGTCAACTCTACTGTACACCTGGGCATTCTTATAGCACATACAAATACACATGTACAAACATCATTTGCTAACCCCATATGGTCATGAGCACACTTCCCCCTGCCTAGACATACCTGATCATTCAGCCTGTCCACACATATATCCACCCATAGTAAATCAATGTTAGCCATCACTTACAATACAGTACTATATATGCAAAAGCATTCACCTTTGTTGTCTGCACCTCCCACATTCCTTTCTATGTCTTCTTCCTCAGTGCCACCATGTTGATCACTCATTTTTAGTACATTGCCTTTTCTTTCACCCAAATCAATACTTGTCTCTACCTATCTAGCAGTGTTCCCTCCCCTTCCTTCCCACCCCTGGTAACCAACACAGAAAGCTTCCTTCCACATATAAATCTTCCCTTGACTTTCCACAATAGTGAATTAATACACTATTTGTCCTTCTATGATTGACTTATTTCACTCAGCATAATGTCCTCCAAGTTCATCCACATTATGTGGTGCTTCAGAGTCTACATTATTCTTTAGTGTTGTATAGTATTCCATTGTGTATATATACCATAGTTTAGTTATTCATTCTTCTGTTAATGGTAACATAGGTTGTTCCCATCTCTTTGTTATTGTGAATAGTGTTGCGATGAACATGAGTATGCATATATATGTTCTTGTCCTGGCTCTCACTTCTTTAAATTATATGCTTAGTAATGGGATTGCTGGATCAAATGGTGTATCTAATTCCAACTTTGTAAGGAATCACCATACTGCTTTCCACAGTGGTTGTACCATTTTACAGTCCCACCAGCAGTGTATGAGAGTCCCAATCTCTCCACATCCTTGCCAGCATTTGTTTTTTTCTGTCTAGTTGAGTTTTGCTATTAGTGCTGGGGCAAGATGGTATCTTTTTGTTGTTTTGATTTGCATCTCTCTAGTGGCTAATGATTGTCAACATTTCTTCATGTGTTTGTTGGCCTTCTGAATATCTTCTTTGGTGAAGTGTCTATTCATGTCTTCTGCCTATTTTTTAGTTGGATTGTTTGTCTTTTTGTTATTGAGGTGTTGAAGTGTTCTATAAGTTCTAGAGATAAGTCCCTTGTCAGATATGTTATTACCAAATATTTTTTCCCAATCTGTAGGTTCTCTTTTGACTCTTTTGGAGAAGTCTTTGGAAGCAACTACAGTTTTAATTTTTAGAAGATCCCATTCATCTAGTTTCTCTTCTGCTGTTTGTGCATTTTGGGTCTGCTTGATTGTCTATTTCTGGCATATATTAAGGACCCTGAATTTGCCCCTATTTTTTCCTTGAGGAACTTTAGTTTTAAGCTTCACATTTAAATCTTTGTTCCATCTGGAGTTAGTTTTTGTGTGTGGTGTGAGGTATGGATCTTGTTTCATTTCCTGCAAATGGATAACCAGTTTGCCAGCACCATTTGTTGAAGAGACTATCTCTTCCCCATTTAATAGATTTCAGCCCTTTGTCAAAGATCAGCTGACCACAGGTTGATGGATCTATTTCTGGGTTCTTAATTCTGTTCCCCTGGTATGTATCTGTTGTTGTACCAATACCAGGCTATTTTTACTACTGTGGCTGTGTAGTAGGTTTTCAGATCTGGGAGTGCTCTTCTTCTTCAATAATGCTTTGCTTATCTGAGGTCTCTTTCCTTTCCAAATAAAGTTAGTGATTGGTTTTTCCATATCCTTAAAGAAGGTTGATGGGTTCTAGACTGGAATTGCATTGAATGTATAGATTGTTTTGGGTAGTAGTGACATTTTCACCATGTTCAATCTTCCTATTCATGAGCATGATATGTTCTTCTATTTATGTAAATCACTTATGGCTTCTTGAAGTAAAGTTTTGTAGTTTTCTTTGTACAGGTCTTTTGTATCCCTAGTAAGATTTATTACCAATATATTATTTTTTTGGTAGCTATTGGAAATGGTATTGATTTCCTTATTTCCTTTTCAGCAATCTCTTTGCTGGTGTAGAGGAATCCAACTGATTTTTGTATGTTGCTCTTGTATCCTGCCACTATGCTAAATCTCTCAATTAGTTCCAGTAGTTTTCTTGCTGAATCTGTTGGGTTTTCTATGTACAGGATCATATTACCTGTTAATAGGAATAGTTTTACTTTTTCCTTACCAATTTGAATGACTTTCCCTTTCTTACCTTCTTGCCCTGACTAGGATTTCTAATACAGTGCTGAATAGAAGTGTGATAGATGGCATCCTCATCTGGTTCCTGTTTGCAAGGGGAATGGTTTCAGTCTCTCTGCATTGAGAATAATGTCAGCTGTTTGTTTTGTATATGTGTCCCTTATTATGTTGAGGAATTTTCCTTCTGTTTCTATTTTTCTGAGTTTTTATCAGTAATGGGTGTTGGAATTTATCAAATATCTTTTCTGCTTCGATTGATATGATTGTGTGGTTCTTTTCCTTTTTTACTTATGTGATGGATTACTTTGATTGTTTTTCTGATGTTGAACCATCCTTACATACCTGTATGAACCCTACTTGGTCATGATGTATTATTTTTTTGATATGTTGGTGGAGTCTATTGGCTAGGATTTTCTCAAAGGTTTTTGTGTCTCTATTCATGAGGGATATTGGTCCATAGTTTTCCTTTTTAGTCATGTCTTTGCCTGGTTTTGGTATCAAGGCTATGCTTGCTTCCTAAAATGAATTTGGGAGGATTCTATCTTTTCTATATTCTGGAATAATTTGAA